AGACGCGCACGGCGCGCCCCCGACGGCCGCGGCGGCCTCCCGGACGCAGCACCCCTCCGCGAGAGCTGCTTTCGTGCCCGACGTTCTGCCCCTTGGAGGCAAAGCCGTCTCAATGGGCGACAAGGCTGCAGAGAGCCGAATGAATGGTCCGGGCGGCGCAGTGATCGGAGGGAGCGCTTCGAAGACACTGCGCACGCGCGCCCTGGGTTACCCAGGGTCCCCGCTTCTGGCCGCGAGGAGCCGCCGGACCGCGCATGCGTGCGGGGAGCCGGCGTCCCGAACGGGCGCAGGTAGCGGTCGCTGTCCGCTGAGAGGCGGACCGCAAAAACCAGTGCGAGGGCACGACAGGTGCTTCCGAATCGGGGATCGAAGGCTCTGTAGACTGGGACACACGGAAAGAACCTAGAAGCTCCAGGCAGGGGAAAAGAGCACTGCACCGAGCGAGAGTCGGGGACTGCGGGCTCTGCTGCTGTGAAGCCATTCCACAGTATCCTAAGGAATAAATTAGGATGAAGTCAGTCAACGGTCCTTTGTAAGTGGATAACGTTGTAGCAAATGTTAACCAATTTTATGGGTTCGATCATGATCTCACGCTTGTATTTGGAAAAGTTATCTGCCAAATGAAGCATAACAATGAGAAAACAAAATTATATTAATCAGAACAGCTGAGTCCGAATTTCAGGTTTAATGTGGATCTGATATAATTCTCGCAACAAAGAAATCCCACCAGTACCACAGTACCACCAGAAAATGTGCAATTTCTTGTAGGCTTTTTGGAATATTAAAAATCGATTACAGATTTTCATTTGTCCTGTTGACTGGCTAAGCTTCTTGGGGATGTAAATTAGAAACAACTGAACTACGTAATTTTCGCTATCTTATATATCTCTATCATTCTATGATTCTTACAGGGAAAGATACCAGACTTAATTTTCCCAAGTTTTGAAGACTGTAGGAACAACTAGGGCCTTTCCCTAGGAATATCTATCCGTGCTGAGGGGCCAGGACCAGGGAGGGGCCTACATGAAGGCCCAGCAACAAGACAGCCATTCGCCTGGACAGTGAAGCTTCATAAGGTTGCCATCCACTACTCTCCTCGGCTCCTCAAGATGCTCACCCTGGTGTTCCCAGCTTACGTTTCTTCCCAGAATAATAATACGGGAATGGGTTTATCAGATTTACAAGAACCAGCCTCCTCGTACGAACATTGCATTATTTAGCCCTGTGTTTAAATTCATTTTCAAGACTCGACTTCACAAAGCCTTACTGACTTGTTGGCAGAGATAGTTGCGCCCTCGTTTGTGCTCCTAGAATATTTTGCACTTATTTTAGTGGTTTATATATGATCCTCCTCCACCAGCCTATCAGCTTCAGCTATTCCCAGCATGTAACACAACACCCAGCCTATGATAGGTGCTCATCAAATAGTTCTTGACTAACAATGAAGCAATCGATCTCATTTTTTAATTATTTGCTTAAAGTTTGCCTTTTCAACTAAATGTAAGCTCCATGAAAGACAAGACCATATTGGTTCTCAATGGGCATTCAATAATTTTTTGATGAAAGAATTCATAAATAAATGACTAAAGAAATTGATGAATATTTAGCAAACATTTACTACCCATAGGCATGCCCTAGGCAAGGAAGAGATGAAGAAGTATATAAACATTGCTCCTACTTTCAGGAAGTTTGTGAAATAATTGAATTAGAAAAGTACATCAAAAAATAGTGTTACCAAGGAGCACATGCAAAATGCTCAATGAGTAAAATGGAGAGTTGCTGAGGAAAGACAGGTGCTGTTGGGGAAAATGTTGAGTCTTAAGAGAGAAAAGTATGGCTCGGTCGATCAGAAAGTAAAATTAAAGTCATGAGCCCAGAAAATAAGTGAAAATACTTCAATCGAGTTGATAGGGGCAAAAGGTTTATTCGGGAAAAAATATTTTAGGGGCTAGATTATAAAGAGTCTTGAATCCACTTTGGGAAACAGCCTATAAACAATTGGAAACAGTGAAAGCATTAAGTTGCAGTAAGATACATTCAAGGTGTTTTGAAGATTGTTTTCAGCAGATTAATATTTTAAAATAGGTGGGAGATTAGAAGTAAAGAGACTAATTAGAAAAAAATTATAGCAGTCCAAAGCAAACATAAGTAATAGGATTCTAGATTAGGGTGCTGACAAGGAAAGTAAGGGAATGTTCCGAGAAAAACACAAAAGCGTCTATAGGAGTAAGTTACTCTCTAAAAGAATCTGTCCTATTCATCACTGTCTTTCCCAGTGCTTGGTATATAGGTCAACAAATTGATTAAGTAACTGATGGAACACAACAAGGAGGAGTGACTACAAAGATGACTCCAGGGATAACAGCATGGTGACAGAATCGGAGATGGCCAGTGGATGGTTTAGTATTGGGTGTATTGCGTGAGTGCTTACTTACATTCAAATAAGCGTATCAAGGCAGTGGTTGAAAATTCAGGCTAAGGCATAGGGGAAAGTTAAGCACATGAAATAAAACTGCAGGTTCCTGAGCTCTACCTCCAGAGATTCTGACTCTCCAGGCCTGAGCTAGGGCCTGTGAATATGCATTCTTACCAGAACCAAGGTGAATCTGATGCAGGTGACTGTTTGATATTGTGATTGATATTGTAAGTAATGTAAGAGAGAGAGATAAAATAGCCTCTTCTTTCCAGGTAGCTCATTCAGGGGACAGAAAGTGATATGACCCCAGCTGAGAAGTCTCCAAGGAAAAAACCATTAATGCTTAACATTACCACTTGGGAACCTATCTTCAATAAAATCTAAATTTCAAAAGGAAGCTGAGAGGATGGGATACAATGGTATTTCTCTTTCATACAGATAAAACTATAAAATTATTCTGAAAGTACGCAGTCCTTATTAGTTTCTATTGGCAAGGTCTTCTGGGGAAGCAGAAAAGAGGAAATGTGGCAAAACTCACAAACAGACAAAAAGGAAGTCGGGACTCAGGAGAAGTAGCAAAGAGGAGAAGAGAAAGTGTTAATGAAAAGTGAAAGTAAGTATAAAATAAAAACAGCCCTAGTAATTAAAATAATTCCGTCGTGGTGGTAAATGCATTAATCCTGTGAATGACAAACATGACAAGACAAAATTCAAAGTCACGAAAACACAGCTACTGAAATAAAATCTAATGGAATTAAGATGGAATGGAACGCCCAAGAGATTTAACTTTCCAGACATATTTCTAAGGTGTCTTATCCACATATAATATTTTAGGGAGATAAGGCTGCTGGTTTTCATCTCCAGCTAGCCCTGCCCTTTGGTACAATCTCACAAAAGGATCCTCCCTAAAAATGCTGTATTTGCCTGACTCACCTTAAGGGTTTGCTACCTGTTAGCCCTGTTTGCTGTCTAATCAAATCTCTGAGTAAATAATAGCTTCTTGTTCAGTTTTTTTTTTTTAAGTTTAATGTGTTTGCCCTTTAAAACAAACAAACAAAAAGAATGGGTGTGAAATAAACATGGTATTGAAAAGCTAAATTGAGAAGAAAAAGAAAATTTTTTTCTGTCTGTGAATGGATAAGAAATAGAAAAGTTTATGTAACCGGATAGTATAATAATGCATCTAGTAGAAAATTATCCATAATCTACTGGTAAAATGAAAAGCTTCAACTTACACATTAAAACCCAAGGTAGATACTTACCTATGTAGAACTGTAATTTCTTAGAGTTACGATTTGAGGACAATCTCTTTTCTAAAAATGTCTATCACACGGTTTACACTGTTAGAATTGTATCATTACCTTTTATTCCTCTACCAGTCATCCTATATAAAATTGTAAGCATTTTATAGAGAAGGCACTAATACTTTGGTAAGTTGGTCATCGTACTTAAAAAAGTTAATTTCCTTTATGAAAGCACTTCTTTTGCAAGCTACCACTGGCAATTTTAGTCAAGGTAGTTATAAAATATGACCTAGGCCAATGAGAAGTATTGTTAAGGATGAGGATTAGAGATGGAGTTGTGTGTATATGAATGCAAGTTACTGAATAGGGTTAGACAGCTTTAAAAGGAAAACAAAAGATTGGGAAAAACCAATATTGACTAGAAAAACATTTACTCATATGTTAAATGTATATGTGTTTTATGAATGCGTGGGTAGGTTTAGATCCACTTGAAGATCATAAGCCAAAACAAAATGAGGTCTAATGAATTCTGCAAAAACAGAACAATTGGTGTCAACATGAGGTTGAGATGAAGTAATAGTAAAGGGCGGAAGAAAAAAAACTCATTGAAACTGAAGCAGATAATTTTGTATCTTTTGCTCTATGGATTTAACCACCCATACACGTGACGTGGCATAAGAAAGTGATCTGGGAAAGTAGGTACAGCTAGAATCAAGAAATGTTTAAAACAATACATTGTGTCTGCCATGCTACCCTGAACAAGCCCGATCCTGAGTCTGATCTTGGAAGCTCTTGAAAGCTAAGAGGGTCGAGACTGGTTAGTACTTGGATGGGACACCACCTAGGAAGACCAGGTGCTATAGGTATAAAAACAAAAACAAAAATAGTACATTGTCCACTGTAACTTGCATCAAGTCTCCTTCCTAGATTATGAGTGATATTTCTTTCTGCCTTGTACCCTGACTATTCAGATATATTTGCTGGCAAATCATACTATGATATCACCCCCAATACCTGCTCCTATCACTCATTGAATTCTGTAAGCAACTGGGAATGCTAAAGTAGCACTAAGTTGTAGACTTGAGTAAACAACCTAGAGAAAGATGAATAGTATTTGGATATGATAATTACGATTCGATTTATATCAGGTTGGAAGAGAAGTTAGTTTGGGAGCCTATTCTTAACCTTTGAAGGTGATGTCAAGTAAAAGAAGCATTCCTTCTGACAGTGTTTCCTCTTACTCTCTGAATCTGTATGGTGATTCTTATATTCTAAATTTGCTTTGCTCAGATATAGCAGGTATTTCTTTTCTTACCCTATGGAGTCCTCCCACACAGAGCCTGGGGCATGTACCATTAAACCAGTTCACCAACTGTATTTGTACTTGTCAATTTATTATGAGATAATTGAAACTGGTACTATCTTATCTTCAGTTTGGAAAAATTAGGTCAAAGCAGTAAAGCTGCTGGTCAAATCCTGATATCTCACCTGTGTTCAACAACCGAGGGTCGCTGAATCTGGGTCACCTGTTTGACCATGGTTCGGCTGATACCAGAGCATATTTTGGTTTGAGTCAATTAAACCAAAGTCACAAACAAAAATCAAGTATCATACACCAATCTTCATTCTTCCTTCCTTTGCTGTATATGACATCACTCTCCAACGTTTGGTTTGTACCAAGATGTTAACCACTGTTGATAATACCTCTGAAGAAATTACAAACTGAATTCCCTACTGCAAATCTAATTCAGTATTGCTGTTATCCACTGCAATGCCCATAGCAGTGTATTACTTTTCTGTTGCTGCCATAACAACTTAACGCAAATCGGGCGGCTTAAAACAACAGAATTTAAGCTCCCTTTTTCCCTGCCTGAGTCTCATAGGACAAAGTAAGTTGTCAGCGATTCTTCTTCACTCTCTGCAGGCTCTGGTGGACAGATGATCTGCCTCCAGACTCATTCAGATCCTCGGCACGATTGAATCCCGTGTGGTCCTAGGTCTGATGCTCCTATTTCCTTGCTGACTGTCTGCTCAGGGCTCTTTGCTTCTAGAGGCCACTGCATTCCTTGGCTCGTGGCCCCTTCCTCCATTGCCAGCAACAGTGGGTCAAGTCCTTCTCATACCACATCTCTGACTTCTGCCCTCCTCCTCCACCTTTTAAGGCCTATGTGATTACATTGGACCCACCCAAATAATCTCCCTATTTTAAAGTCGGCAAATTCCATCTGCAGAACCTCTTTTGCCTTGTAATATTAACATATTGACTGATTCCAGGGATTAGGGCACCGTTGGTGAGGCTTTAATCTGCCTCCCATGTGCGGTATGAAATACTTATTGCTCCAATGGATACAGGTTGGTTGATTAGGTGATGTGAAGTACTTCTGGGCCTAGCCACAAGGATAAGAATTTGCTTCTTATGAAGAACCACTTAATAAGATAATGATCCCTTTGGATGGTCTGTAGAGAAACAGGAAATGGGCTCTCACCAAACACCAAGTCTGCCAGCACCTTGATCTTGGAGTTCCCTGCCCGCCCCAGAACTGGATAAATAAATGTTATTTAAGTCTCCCAGTCTATGGAAATTTGTTATGGCAGCCTGAACTGACTAAAACAGATGTATTATAATAAGCAACTAAATGCTAATAGAAAAAAATGCCTTCAAAATTCAGAGGGAAAACGATTTTGAGTCTAAAATTTTAAAACTAGTCAAATAATCAAACGTAAGGACAAAATAAAAATATTTCATAAATAAAAGTACTTGAAATACTTACCACTTGTAGTAGATACTGATGGTGCCCAACCCACATTTCTTTCACCTGGCCAGGGCACCCAGCTTCTGAGTGTTGGTTGCTAATGATTACAGCTACTTTCTCTGGAGGACTGCTATTGTCCTAACCTGCTCCTATCCTTCCACCCCCACCCCACCCTCCTCACCC